GGGGGGTCCTGTTCCAACAACCCTCCCCCATGAGCCAGCTGGTGACCGATGCGTCCAACGCAGGATGGGGTGCCCACTTGGCAGATCTCCGTTCACAAGATATGTGGTTGGAGTCGGAGAAAAACCTGCAGATCAATGTCAGGGAGCTGAGGGCAGTTCGACTAGCTTGTCAGGTATTTATGCCCCGACTAAAGGGAAAGTGTGTCTTTATTCTCACAGATAACACGACGGTGATGTATTACATCAACCATCAGGGTGGTGTTCCTTCTTCTCCCCTGTGCCAGGAGGCGCTAGCCCTCTGGGATCTGTGTATTGCTCAGGGGACACAGCTGCAGGCTACCTACCTGCCAAGTTCCTGCAACATCCCGGTGGACCACCTCACCTGGGCCTTCTCGGCTCACGAATGGTCTATCAGGAAGGACGTGGTACGCTCTCTCTTCCACAAGCAGGGCACTCCCCTAGAAGACCTTTTTGCTTCTCAGGCCAACAGGCAATGCCTCAGGTTCTTTTCATACAGGTGTCAGGGCAGGGGTTCCATGGGGGATGCCCTCGTGGAAAGGTGGCCTGCGGGCCTCCTGTACACCTTCCCCCTCTTCCCCTTAATTCACGAGGTGATCATGAGGGTCAAGAGATACGGAGTGCAGCTCATTCTCATAGTCCCGGATTGGCCCCAGCAGCATTGATACACCACTCTGGTGTCGCTATCGGTAGCAGAACCTGTTCTCCTCCCGATGGTCCCAGACCTCCTCACACAGGAGCTCGACCAGGGTCTGCTGTGCCACCTGAACCTTCCATCCCTCCATCTCAGGGCCTGGATGATCAGTGGCTGTGGGGTGGGGAACTCTTGCTCAGACCCCATGAAGCGGGTACTCATGGAAAGCAGGAAACCCTCCACCAGGTCATCCTATCTGGCTAAATGGAAGAGGTTTTCAATTTGAGTCAGACAAACAGGGAGGGACCAAGAACAAGCCTGCATTCCCCTGATCTTGGACTACCTCCTCGACCTCCGGAGTCGGGGGCTATCCACCTCATCGGTTAGGGTGCACCTGGCAGCTATTGCAGTCTTCCGCCAGGGGAGGGTGGGAGATCTGTTTTTGCACATAATATGGTGAAGTGCTTTCTAAAGGGGTTGGATAGGTTGTACCCCCACATTAGACAGCCAATACCTCAGTGGGATTTGAACCTGGTGCTCCAGGGGCTTACACTCCCGCCATTCGAGCCACTGGCCACGTGTTCCCTCTCTCACCTCTCCTGGAAGGTGGCATTTCTAGTAGCCATCACCTCGGCCAGAAGGGTTTCCGAGCTACGGGCCCTCTCCTCAGAGCCACCGTATATGGTGATTTCTTCGGATAAGGTGCAACTGCACCCTCACCTGGCTTTTCTCCCTAAGGTAGTCTCGCTATTCCACATGTCCCAGGAGATTTTACCACCAGTGTTCTACCCGAAACCACACGCAGATGAGAGAGAAAGGGCACTCCATTTGTTGGATGTTAGAAGGGCTCTTACCTTTTATTTAGACAGGACTCGGATGTTTCGTAAGTCCACTCAACTGTTTGTATCAATAGCAGACAGGATGAAAGGTTGTCCGGTGTCAGCTCAACACTTTTCATCATGGATCACGTCATGTATCAGAACCTGTTATGATCTAAAAGGAAAGGTGGCCCCGCCCCTCACTAGAGCACAGGCCTCCTCGGTGGCCATTTTGGCTCAGCTGCCGATTGTAGACATCTGCAGGGTGGCCACCTGGTCCTCGGTCCATACCTTTGCCAAGCATTATGCCATCATGCAGCAGGCAAGTCAGGGCTCAGCAGTGGGTAAGGTGGTGCTGCAGTCCATTTTGCTCTAGGTTCCGACCCTGCCTCCTAGGGGGTTTGCTTGGAATCACCTAGATGGAATGGACATAAGCAAGTACTCGAACAAGAAAAGACGGTTACTTATCTCATAACTGTTGTTCTTCGAGATGTGTTGCTTGTGTCCATTCCAAACCCACCCACCTCCACCTTCGTTGGAATCTCCAGTAAGAAGGAACTGAGGGTATAGAGGGCCAGCAGGGGATTATATGTGCGGATATACTGGCGCCACTCTGGCTGGCCCGATGGGTACTTCTAAGGGCAAAAAAGCTTCCAGAACTTGTGCATGGGGCACGCACACGCCTAGACTGAATGGACATAAGCAACACATCTTGAAGAACAACAGTTACGAGGTAAATAACAGTCTTTTACATCTACATAGCAGCGATATTTTGGAATAATTAATGTTATTCCAAAATAACATAGTGTGCATCTATACTACAAGCCTTTATTTAGAAATAATGTTGAGCTGGAAGACTTCTTACTCCAACTCTTGGTAACCACATGAGGAGTAAGGGAAGTCAAGGCAAGTGTGTTCTTCCTTCAACTGCCTGATGTGTAGACAGCTCCAAAAGCTGAATTTAGCTATTTTGACTTAAGATACCCAATTGATGTAGCTCATGTTGAGTAGCTTAATTCAGCTTTAGCCCTGCTGTGTAGAAATACCTTATAATCTAAGAAAAGTCACTCAATTCTCCTTTGCTTCCTCTTTTTTAAGTGGCTAGTATTATCATTATCAATTTGTTATGCACCCACTGTGCTTAATGTTTTAGGACACAGAAAAAGTCACTCTGTTCACAAGAGTTTGCAATCTAAACAAAGTCTATATGTTTGACAGATGTGTCCTGATGATTGATTCATTCAGATCTGTCAAGTATTTTGAGGTCTGTATGTTTTGGCTGATGAAACTATGAATATTTTTAGAGTTTAATTATTACAATTATTGACACACTTTTGCTCTACCATGAGAATATCAGTTTAGAGACATAAAAAGGACTGTTCTAAATGGAGATAATATTAGGGTCAGTTAAACACCAAATCTAAAGCAGAAACCCCACCAGTTGGGCTCCATATTACAGGATACACAGTGCTCATCACTCCTGCTAAATTTTAATTAGTTTGTGGCCAATTTTAGCTATGTACTAGCATGCTTTCCTGCAGCCTGGCCAACCCGAGGCTTGCAAGCCACATGCTGCTCTTTTACTGCTAAAGTGCAGCTCACAGATCCCTTCACACTCATGTGCAGTGTCCACCTACCACACTTGGGCAGGAGGAAGCTTGGGATCTCTGCCTTCCAGCAGGACAGTGGGGTAGGGACTCCTGCCAACCAGGGAGGGAGAGTCTTTGGGCTTCAGTCCCACAGGTCATGCCTGCCAGGGATTCCTGCTAGGCACCTCCTTCAGGGTTAAAGCTCTGAACCCCCACAGGTGGCTTTGGCTCTTGAACTTCTGAAGATTGTTGTATGCAGCTTGGAGGGCCAGTACATTTGGCCACCCCTGCTCAATAGCTACTTGTACTCTTTACCCTTATTCCTGGCTAGAGTGGTTAAACTAATTTTGACTGATAGGGTCAGTAAACTGATGACTTTTTCAGTTCTCTTACTTGGAATCTTCTTTCTTAAATTGCTCATAATTGACTTAAGATACCCAATTGATGCTGTTGTTGCTTAGTTACCATATAAAGTATCTCTTTGAAGCAAGATTAAAAAATGAAAGCTAAATCCTTTAGTTCCCAGTGATTTTAGTTTCCTGAACACTTCATCACTCTCATTCAAGATAAATGAAAACCCTTACACCAGAATCCCTTGTGACTATTATAAATAATAATGTATTCAATCTTAACTTATATTTATTAATTTATTCAATTATATTATTTATTCAAATAATAAAGTATCACCATCCTCAGTGACTCTTTTAGAGTCATTGAAAAAACTGAAGCCTTTAAATTAATATAAAACTATACCTCCAAATGGGTTGCCATGACATTCTCACACAGCCTGTTCTATGGATAATTTATAAAAGTTTGATATGCAGTTTTATTGCTTGACTACTAAGTGCAATAGAATACCTCAGAAACTCATAGGTTCATGCCCAAGGCTACGGGGGAAAAGCTATCCAAAGTTTAAGTTGGATAGATTACCAGAAACTCTAACACACAAAGGGATAGTGGATGGAGCACTCATGAAAATTAAAAGCTTATTGTTAACTCATTTGTATATGGTGAAAAATTAAAGGCTAAATCAACTCCCACTGAAGTTTATCAAGAGTCACACTGACTGGACAAGCACTTGCTTAGGGAAATCATCGGCCTTTTGTGTTTCATCCAATGTACTGGTCTGCAGGCAAGAGCCAACGTGCAACACAAATGCTAAGAACATGACTGCTCATAGCTGAGCTAAGATTTGTTCTCGGATACATTTGACTTTTAGTTTTTCTCCGGAAATGAATGTTCTGCAAAACAATAGCAGATAGGGGAAGCAGAGTCTACTGTTGAAAGCTTCCAAATGAATAAGTACAACAATCCTGGAAATGTAATTTGACTAGGCAGAGAGGAGTGCGGAAATCATGATCTAATGAGATTTGATGTCTATCTAAACAATTGACAGATCATTTTGATACTGCATAAAATGAAGCATTTTTATTGTAAATTAAAGGTCATTTTACAGGTTTATCTACCAAAATATCACATCCCAGAACTAGTGTTGTTGACTTGTCATATTCCACAGAGAAATCTAATGCGCGTTAAACTGTTAAAAAAACCATGGTGTGCAAAACTACATTATACAGTGTATGTATAGTGCATACAGCGTGGTTATGGAGTTTTTTGTTTTGTCTTTGTAGTGAGCTAGTCAACACACTCAATGACCCACTACAGGTGTAGCAGTAGTAATGAACCAAGGGCACATACATTTATACACACACCACACTGATAATAAGCTGAGATTGAAATAGGACGATCTGTGCAGAAAACAAAAGCCTCTAACAGTTGAGCTAACAGAGAAATCCTCTACCTGTTGTTTGTTGCAGATATTTGGCCCATTTGCTAAAGTGTGACGTGCGGATGTGAATTAAGGCAGTGTATCATATCAAGATGCCAGCTTCCTACTGTAGAAACCAGTGGTCCAGACATGTTGTCTTTGGCTTTATAAATTCCTTTTTATCCCCATCATGGGTCCAGTAAGTGCCACTGTTCTTGCTGTTCTTACCTGACTTCAAGGCAATATTTGATTAACATGTAGGCAGCTCTTATTCCACCAGACAAGGAAGAAGGGGAAGCTCTGGGAGAACACTATTCCTCCAACCTAAGGAGAATAAGGGGCACTTTGGAATTTTCCCTAGATAGTCTATGGTTTGGGTGCATATTTCACAAACCCTAGCCACTCATGAATAGATACTTAGTTTATTTTACAGAAATTACATGATGAAAAACACTCACACTCTAAGCCCTTGTGAGTGTCTTTTATACCTGGAGATAAGTTCTAGTTGTAGAATTCACACTGGGAATGAAACAGGGCTCATTACACTTTACTTTTTAAGGGATTATATAATCCAGTTACATTTGTAATTGAGTGTACTTTGTCAGGTTCACATACCGTGGATTGACATGTATTGGCATAGTAAATTGCATTTTCCACTAGTATAACCTTGTTTAAAAATACCTAATTTGACATTTGTCCCTGATGTCATTCCACTATACTCACTTAAACTAGAATTTGTTCCCACTCTATGCAATGGACCCTTTCAATTAGTTCATTCATGTGGAAAATGATTTACTCATTTTATGATCGTTAATCATTCTATTGCATCACTGCCAAAGCAAACAACTCCTACTTAATTTACAGTAAATGACAACAGATTCATCGCATCAAATCATCTTCCCTTTTTGTAGTATTGTGTGAACAAAAAAACTAGAGGTAAGAGGCTTTGATAGATGAAGTAATACTGGACAGGATCATAGATCGGTGAACAAACATTTAATGAACCATAAGAAATCCACATAACCATAGGACAAAGTAGTGATTCAAAATTTAACCATGGAAATAAAATGGATTTTTTAAAATCTTCAGAAACTATTTTTCATAGACAATCCAACCCACAAACAGATATTTTTCTTGAAGACAAGTGTATGCAGAGATTATTAGGGTGGTCTTACTCTAAAATGTAACTGTGAAAAACTGGCATTTTCTTGCTCAACATGATCCTGATCCAAAGCCCATTGCAATCTATGGAAAGGCTCCTCCTCACCCCTATGGGCTTAGGATCAAGCCCAGCGCAGATCAAATTCTTAGGTGTTGTCAGAACTGTATGTGCTTATTTTATGGCAAAAATAAATCTTACTGATTTTTCTTTTTGGTCCTGTTTGCTGTGCGGAGCCACACAACTAAACAAATGAACTGGATTCTATTTCTTCTTGTGCATTAACCATAAATTTCTTTACTAAGTTCCAGTTAGTAACCTAGTCCAAACCCACTACTGATAATAGGATTGCATACATATATAACTGAGGGCCTATCTTGGTCTGTAGAATCTTTATTACTGATGCTAGTGCAAAAGAAGGAAGGAATCCAGTGCAAATGTTAGAGTCCAGACTTAGCTAACTCTTTCTACTTGTAAAATAAGCACAGTTGATATGGAAATAATTGACATAATAAAGGTCAATTGACATACTAAAATTAATTTATACAGAGACACTTCTCAAAGGAGAACTGTACTTTAAGCTGAAATTTTCTAAGCTGTTTGTGGGTTTGAACAAGGTAGGCACAGCTTTTTACCATATAAAACAAACCAGACATTTTAAATTAACCCACTGAGACTGCTGTGCAGAGGTGCAGCCAACACTTGTTTTGGCATTTTACCGGAAAGGAGGGAGGGACTGAGAAAAATAGTCAGGCTGAAACAAAGGAGAGGCTCATAGAATCATAGAATAATAGGAGTGGAAGGGACCTCGAGAGGTAATCAAGTCCAGCCCCCCGCCCTCAAGGCAGGACCAAGCTCCGTCTACACCATCCGTGACAGATGTCTATCTAACCTGTTCTTAAATATCTCCAGAGAGGGAGAGTCCTCAAGTCTCTTGTTAGGTGACATGGCATATCAACACATGGGACTGAATATAGTTAGTTTATTAAACATGTCATTATTTTTTTCTGTAACACAACTAATACAACTAAGTTATGTCTACACAGCAGCATTATTTTGGAATAACTGACATTATTCTGAAATAACAAAGAGCGTGTCTACACTTCAAGCTATTATTTCGAAATAATGGCAAGTTGGAGGACTTCTTACTCTGACTCCTGTAGCCCTTATTTTATGAGGAGTAAGAGAAGTTGAAAGAAGAGTGTTCTTCCTTCGATTTCTTGCTGTGAGAGAGTGCCAAAGGCTGAATTTCGACTTGAGCTACACAATTCTGTTCACTG